TATTTAGTTATTGCCAGTTTATTATCAGAGAATTTTGGTACAAGTGATCGTCAGAAAGAGTTAATGATTTGCATCCATAAATTGTTTATCCAACATTTTAGTTAGACCTTTATGACTAAATTACTATGTAAAAGAGCTAACTGTTGTTGCAATTTGTAAGTCTCTGATTGCTTAAAATATTGAAGCTTTAATAGTTTATTAATAATAAAAAAAAACATCATTGCTAATCTTAAACAATTAGACATCATAAAGCTATCACTTTAAGATATCAGATTTGACAATTTGGACTAATTCCTCAGATATTTAAATGATTTCTAAATTGCAATAAATGCAGACTTCTCTTCTCTTAAAAAGGCTTCAATTGTCATTTTAAAAAGCCTTAACATCTTATCAGCTATAGCATGATACATATCATAAGGTAATTAAAGATAACTTTTCTATTGCAATTTATTAAATATTAGTAAATGCAAATGTAATTCATATCTTGAGACAATTTTTTTGCATTCTGTTATAGTCAATGCTGCAAAAAATTTCTTCAAATTGTTTATTTGTAAAATGCTAATAACAAGAACTTATAGATAAGTTATTGTTATCTGATATTCACAAATTTTTGACTATATTACAGATATGGTAACTTTTTGTGACATTATGCCTTTTGACCTCAACTATATTATTTTTTTGTGATAAATCAGAAGTAATATTACCAATATTTGCAATTATAAGACTTTTATTGTCTTGCATATTCATTATTTTTTCTTTTTCTAAAAGTTTTATTTTAGCAATGAAAGAGCTAATAAATTCATCAAAAGAGCCATCAAATGGCACAAACCCAAGCACAAAATGGTTCTTAAGCTTTTTTTTTTAGTTAAAACATATATTCCCAAATTGAATATAAACACTACCTAATAAATAATATACATTGTGATATATACTGAAGTTATTATAATAAAGATCTATATATAGCTTATAAACAGGAAGATTTTCAGTAAGTTTTTTTAATATAGCAAATTCTAAAGAATGTTTATAAATATAAGTGATATTTCTTAACTTCTATTTACTATTATGCTTATACAATATCTTATGAATTGTAATCAAAGAAAATTTATTTATATTACTATCATATAGAACAGTAATCTTAATATACCTTATAACTGTTTGTAATTCTATAGTTATAATTACATTATTTATTTCTCGATCTAACATCCAAACTTCACTTTTTTTTTTTTTTTTTTTTGGTATTAAAGTAACCTCTTTGGTTCAAGCTTTTTATTAATACTGCTTCTTTTTTCTCTGTGTTTATATATTCTTCTTCTTCTCAAATTTCTTTTTCTTAAGGTTTTTTTTTTGTAACTCTTTTTTTTATATTCTGTTATGTTGTCTTTTTTATTTAACTCACCGCCAATCATTTTTGAAAAAATGACAATTAACGAAAAAAAAGATATATGAGAAACAACATTAAAGAAGTCAATCATCACTTATGACAGATACATGGTTTATATAGACATATCTATAATGAACTATTAGATGAGTATACAACTGGCTATATGTGTAACTTTTCTATATTACCTATTTAAGGAGTCCACCTAAGAGTTCCCTACCAGTTGCCATATCTAACACTCCTGCTTAGATGTTCTATTTAAACCCTCTGATCTAACTCTAGTATTAATTTCACCAGATCACAGACCCAGATCTATTTGCTATCAACCATAGGACTATAATTCTTAAACTATTTTTATCCTTGAGGTAAACCTACCAGAGCAAGCCATATTTTCTTTTACTGCTAACCTGGTTTGATGCTATGGCTGAGACCAACACTTGCAGTCAGAGTTATCTCTTAAACTGCTATTACCTTTGTAAAGTTTATCCAAACCCTGGTACCTATCTTTCCAACTTCTTCTTCATTATCTCCTACTAGTCATAACTCAGAACTAACCAACTTTCCAGACTTCCAATCCAGATGGCCTAGTATACTATACTTATGTATTCTTTTTCTCTAGTGATTTTAGTGGCCTGGTTGATTATGTGCTCCTCTACACATCTTTTGTTATCTGGTTCATCTAACAGTTTCTATGAAGGTGTTTCATGGGCTTTCATCAGTCCAATGGCACCATCAAAAGTTTGTGCTATCTCTTTACTTAAAATTTCTAAGTGAGTTTCTGTCTCTTTGGTTTCTTAGCTTTTTACACCCAATGGTCTTATCGTGGGTTTGCCTGAAGCCTTATACAACACCAGTTTTACTTCCTCTATGTATATGTATCATGTAACATTACATTTCACATAGATGCCTCAAGCTTTCAATATTAAGTAAAATCTAACTTGGTATACTTAAGATTACAGATGCCCAAAACCCAACCAATCGAAAAAGACAGTTACTGTAACACAAGTATAATTTCCAAAATTCATTATCTGTGGGAATTGAACCTTAGACCTGCCACTTGAGGATTGACAACCTATCTACTTCACTAGGTTACCACACCCACTTCATCTTTTATTGATCTTTCTTTACAACTATTGCTTTATAAATTTTTAGATAGTTCTTCATATATTAGAATACATTAAATATTAAGATTAAGGCAGTCATCTTTTTAAATGATTGATAAAATATGACTAATCCTTTTTATAGATTCTTGATAAATTACAAAATCTCTGGTGTAATATTTTACTGCAGTTTATAAGTATATTTAATAATGTTTTTTTGAATAAAATAATAAATAATTATTATAAATTCTCGAAATAATATCTATGAATAAATTAAAAATAAATAAAAATAAAGCAAATTGGTATCTCTATTTATGACAACAGACTTCTGTCCAAATTTTGATAATTTTTTTCAAATATTATTATGTCATAGTTTATAATTTTTTGTAACTTCTTGGCCTGAACTAAAATACATTTTACCAAACAGTATAAAATTGTTAAGAATATGCCAAATAATTTCAAAAATAGATAAACAATATGCCTTTTTAGTATTTTTTGATATTGATAGTGTCTTTTTGTTAAAAATACAAATTTAATGTAATTTAATTTGAAGTAAAGGCAGTCTTTGCCTATACTTTCTAAATCTTCTAATGTTCTTTACAACATTCTTGCTCTCAAATTGAGAATTACTAATTATATCTATCAAGTTATCATAAGCTTGAGTAACTATTGTAAAAAAAAGATTTAGCAAATAAATATTTATAATCAATAATTTATTTTAATTTACATATATATGATAAATCAGTTTAACTTATATATAAGATATTTTTGAATCTAGAAAAACAATAATGCTTCTGTAAAGTTGTTAAAATATGGTGCAAAATCTCAATTAATATATGCCATTTTTTTATTGCTTAAAAGCTTATCAACTACTTCTCTATCCAAATCCTCTCTTATCATGTTATCTTTATTTAACAAATCATCTTTGCTTAATACATCATTTTCAGTAAACATATCATTATCATTTAGCAAACCATTCTCACTTGACAAAACACCTTTGCTTAACAAATTATTTTTATTTAATAAATTGTTTTCACTTAACATATTATCATTAAAACCTTTATCATTAGAAATATATCAAACTCTTTTTCACTTAACATCTTGTCATCTAACTCAATATTAATATAGTCATTATTAGATATATTGGTTTTGGTACTTCTCTCATTAAATATCTCATATGAAGATGTATTAAGCATATAAGATAGATGTCTTATATAATTTTGCTAAGGGTTAAAAGAATCATAGTGACTATGAAACATTGTAAGAAAAATAAAATAAATATTGTAAGTTAAAAGTCTATTTATTTAAAAACATAATCATTAAATGCAAACTGAATTTATTAATTTATTGCAAGATTCTAATTAGAGTTATCACTAGGTTGATTAATAATACATTGTAAATTAATATATAATCTGTATAAAATGATCATGGTTCAAATTAAAAAAATGAGTTAATAGCTCATTCAATAGTAAGAAAACAAAATACAAATAATTTTTCAGTACTACTATATTATAATATTATGAGTTTATAGTAAGTGTAATTATTAATTACAATAATAAAAGATAAGAGATATCTCTGCTATTAAATTGCAAATTTTTAGAACCTTTATAATAATAATTGCTTTATTTTATTTATTTAATATTAAAATAAATTCTTTTTTTTTTTTTTTTATCTCTAAGAAGTATTTAGTTATATATATCAATTAGCTCTGTTCTATGTATTCTTCATTAGTCAACAAATGATGTTTTTTTAAAGAAAAAATATATTTTATATGATAACATAAATATTTATTTCATGAGAATATAAAATAATAAAATGTGTTACAAATAATAATCCATAAAATCAATGCATAACAAATAATTTATATTTGCTAAACTAGGATAAGTGCAATCAAAAGTCATATAATATTTAAAAAAATATACAAAAAGTAACTTTTAATAATATTTCTTTATAGACTTATATATAACTGTAGTGAGAAATTAAACTGAATTAGATATATGAAAATCAAAAAAAAAAACTACCATCTGTTAAAGACTTATCCAAATATTATTTTATAGATATACATGTTCATAAAATCATATAATAGCAAATATTTATAAAATTAATAATTATATGCTCTAGAAAATTTAAGTGTATATACAGGAATTCGATTTTAAATAAACAAAGACATTCATTTCATTTTAATTAGATAATTATTCTAAGCAATTTGATTGTACCTTTGATTAAAACTTATCAAGATTCAATTTATTCATATCAAAATTTCAATGTTATTATTATTAAGCTATTAAACTCGAATTATTGTATTTAGTGAGCCATCACCAAAGTGCTCTTAAAAAATTATTTATTTAAATCTTTATCTATTAAAAAAATCTACTTATAATTAACATTCTGTTTCAAATTATACAAAATTTTTTACTATTAATTATTAAAGGCTGAATTGATATGCATTGCAGTACAGTAGTTCTTTCATATTCTTAATTTCAAATTTAATCCTAGCTCTAAAGTATAAAAATTCTGCAAACAAAGTGAAGTTGTAATTGCTGTAATAACTATTAGAATCGCATATTATAAAAAACTAATATATTTATGAAAATAAGGCATAAAATATTAAGAATATTAAATATACTAATTATAGTATTTAGTAATTATAATAATACCTATATTTTATTTTTTTATTATCATTATTTTTAAAAAAAAATTAACCAATAAATATTTTACCTTTATTATATTTTTTTTACAATCTTTGTATATTATAAAAAGTTATATTTGTCTTTGAGAAAATCTCTTAACAACAAATAAATTAAAAGAATCCTCAAGCCCAAAAAATCACTTCTATATTATACTACTTCATGATATATCTTTAATTATTATCTAATTAATTATAACTATAATACTGTGAATAAATATTTAAAGTAAAATTTAATATAATTTTACTATAAAAAAAAAATAAATAAAATTCATACTTTTTTTTTACTCTTTATCACTTAAGCATAAGTATTAAAAATTCTAAAAAACCAGCAAAGAGTAAAATACAAACTACTGCTATGCTAGCTAAATGAGGTTGTAAAAAAAAAAAAAGTTGCACTTTTGAATGCTAATAATTTACAAGATAATTCTAATTCTGCAAAAAGTAAAAGTCGCAAAAAGAAGTAAGAAATAGTTATATTATCATCTTCAAATATAATTAATAACCTTTTGAAAGATATGGATAACTTACAAGACAAGTATTATCTTTACTTTAGTTTTTATCAATTAGTCATGATATTTTTATGATTTTTTTTTAAGGTAATAAAGAAGATAACTGAAGTTACTCAAAAAAACAAAAACTAGTAGCATCTTCATCTTCACAAATAGTTGATAAACTCTCAGACAATACTAATGACCTACAAGATAAAAATTACTTTAATCTATATTTTTCTAAGCACTTAATCATAAAGGTGTAACAACTTAGTGAAGTGGATAAGTTGTCATATCCTCAAGTGGTAGGTTGTGAGTTCAAAACCTACTGATGGTGAAATTTGGATAATCACTTATGTAATATATAGACAGTATTACAGTGACGGCATTCTGTCGATCAGTTGGAATAGGATACCTGTAACTATGATCATACCAGCATGACTGGCAGGTTTGGGGCATCTGTGTAACATGTTACACAGAGGAATGCAAACCGGTACCAGGTGGTGCAAACCTAAAATAAGTCCTCAGGCTGTATAAATCTGTAGAACTAGAAAGCCAGAGCCTACTTGGAAATTCTGAACAAAGAGATAACACAAATCTTTGATGGTACTACTGTAAAGGCTAGACCTAGGAAATGGATATCAATGTGAAGGATTCGGGTGGGCAAGAACCTCAGGTGAGAAGTACTACCAACCAGGCTACTGGATTTCAGACTGGAGGAAAAGAATATTGGCCCAGCCTCAATATACCAAGGACAGGTCACAGTCCTTCTAGGCTATCTGGATTGGGAGTCTTGGTTCAAAGCAGGGGTATACTAAAAGTACTAGAGATATGCTGTGAAGTCAGTAC